GCAGGGAGCCCGATGCGGGGCTCGATCCCAGGACCCTGGGATCATGACCTGAGCCAAAGACAGACGCTTAACGACTGAGCCACCCAGGCGCCCCTCAAATTTATTATTATTTGTTAGATAGTTCAAACATTTAAATGGTTCAAAATTCAAAAGGTATGGATACAAGTCTCTCTCTCAACCCTACCTTCCCCCCTGCCTGGGTCACCTCTTGCCAGTTTGAACCCAAACCTTTTGACCTTGAGGCTAGTACCCTCAGGGACACTGCAGGCTCAGGAAAGCCTAAAGGCAAGTTTCACTTGCTAAGGGTGTTTTACCTCCTCTTAGCAAGGGTGAATATGTATCCTTGGGGACAAATTGTCTTCTTTCCTTTAGAAAGATCCACATCTTTAATTTTCCAACCTAAACTGCTTGGAGGCAGGGAGGATGCCTTCAGCTTCTGGGAGATGGTGGAGTGGGGATTAACATTATAGGGTCTGGCACATAGAAAACTGGGATACAAACTGTGCTGTGTGACCTTGCGCAAGTTGCTTGGGCTCTCTGAGCCTCCAGTTTTTCAACTACAAAGATCATGCCCTCACCAATTTCCCAGGGTTCTTGTGAGGACTCAGTAAGATGACTCATGTCCCACGTTCAACCCTGTGCCAGGCGCGAGGTATGCACTCTGTCAGTGGGAGCAGGGAACTGAGTTTGTGCACAGTACGACAAACCCTAGGCACCCTTTCCCAAACTTAATTCTGACAGAGGGCTAGGGATCTTGGGAACCTAATTAAAGGCACATTGACATAGTAGGCCACCCCAATCCAAACACTTGAGCAAATCATTCTTCCTGGGCTGGGATCCACCCTTTCCCAAACCAGCCTTCCAAAGGTCTGGCTCATCCCCATCTGCTTTTCAGGAGAGGCCTGGCCTTTCTGGATAGTCAGTCATTTTGAGACCAACAGAAGGGCCAACGGGCAAGGGCTCCTCTGGGCCTCTTTTGTCTGTAGCCTTGAGTACGAGCGGATACACAGGAAGATGATACACACATACGGCTTTTCTCAGGGCTGACAGTAATGACTCACTGGAGGGTCACCAATGCCCTTGAGCTGCCTGGGGCAAAGTGACTCACTGGATCTGCCTCTGGGCCTTGCTCCACAGCTGCCTGGCCTCTGCCTCTCGCAGGGGAACGTCCTCAACCCCTGAGACTCTCAGACACGGGCTTCCCCACTCCTACCTCACTCTGTGTTCAGAGGGACCCTCCACACCTCACAGATGAGAAAAGCAGCCCCGTGGTGGCGATCGGCTTGCTCATACCATCAGCTTGTAGCAGACCCAGGATTTGAACCCAGGGCCCGGGTGCCCTCTGTGATACCCCCCTGGCTGCCACAAGGCCCTGCCTCCCAGCCTGCTCCTTCTCCGCAGGGCACTCCCTGCCGGCCTCAGGCTCCAGGTCCTGAACACGCCATGGCTTCGGGGTGGGACCGTTACTTACCCCTTTGAAGTCTTGTTTCTATGAAAGGACAGAATGATCTCTTGGAGCCTGTGGTTCCCACTGACCATGATGTCAGTTAACAATGTAAAAATGTGTTTACTTTTCTGTTAAAAGAGGCATTCCTTTCCTATCCGACTCCAGTTTTGAAAAGCAACAGAAGAGCTTTGCACAGTGGCAGTATCGTAGCCAATGAGGTTTATCCGAGGCGTGATTATTGCTAATTGAAAAGCAACAGAAGTGTAGGTCAACAAGGATGAAGGGACACATAATTGTCTGGCCGAACAATGGAGCAATCGGTGACTTCCGGGGATGGAATCCACACCAGCCTAGGGAGCTGGGACCTGGCAAGACAAGCAGGGTGACAGGGAAGTCTGAGGGGAAACAAGAGGGAAGGACAAGGAAGAGAGAAGAAATGATCGTGCTGCGGCAGGCCCAGGAGGCGGGCAAACCGGGAAACCTACGGAGTGGATCTGGGCTGTCCCCCAAGCCCCCGGCTCCATCCCTCCTCAGCAAAACCATGCCCTCTTGGTGTCCAGAACCATGCGGTGCTCCAGCATGGGACTCTGGATCCACCCCCACCTGCCCCCACGCCCACCCCTGCTCCAACTTCCTACCAACCCCAACTCTCTTGGTGTTCAGGTGTCATTGGCTGGCCGAGTTTTGATGTGTCGCCTTTCCCACAGGTATCCGCATTTTAAACAGGGACTCTGGAATCTCTGGTCCCGCCTGCCCTTAGGTAGAGGCGGAGGAGTTGAGTGGGGTGGGATGGAATAAGACAGAAGATCCTGAGAGGGTCATGGAAAGACAGATCCCAGCCTGAAGGAAAACATAAGAGCTTGGAGTTCTCTTTCCTTTGGGGAGAAACAAAGACGGAATGAGTTCCGTCTCCCCATAGCCTCCCCGGCTCCAGAGATGGGATTTTCCTCTTCTGCCATAGATGTGGAAACTGAGGCCCAAAGCGCCAAGCGCCGAGGCAGAACGGGGCTCAAAGGCTGAGAGTGCTAACCCCCAGGCCCTGCTCTGAGGAGCCAGATGAAAGGGGCCAGAAGCTGGGGCGAGGGCATGTGGGTTGGAGGGAGGGGAGGCTCGGGCAGACAGGCCTTGCAGGCTGCAGCAAGGGGCCAGGGGCCGCCCCTGGCCAAGGCCAGAGGAGGGAACAGGCAAGAGCCAGGGATTCCCAAGTCCCGAGAAATATAAATGACTCACGCTGGGTGGCTCTGCAGGCCGGCCCAGCCCAGCCCACATTCCCGGGCCTTTGTTCCCAGCCAGCCTGGGCCCGGCCTTAAAGGGACAGCTCCTAGGGCCCCAGCCAGGCCACCCGGCGCCACCCCACCCTCCTCTTTAATCCCGACCCTTCGCGGCGTTGCTCCTGGACTCCAGGCTGTGGGTAAAAAGGGTGCTATCCCGCAGGATTTAGGGGTTCATCCAGTTGAATCCTCAAGCTGTAAGGAAGGGCCGTCAGGTCATTTCATCCATTCCTCTGCCTCTGCCCCTAAACTGGCCAAGAAGGATTAAGAAAATCCTTGTCCTGCTTTGAAAAGATGTTACCACGAGGGGACCCTTTTCAAAGCAACTTCTTCCTGAGTCTCAAAGCATCTCCCCTCTAACACCATCCCCCAGGCTGCGGTGTGGGCTAGAGGCCCCTCTCCCGGGAGGAAGGGGGGGGGAGGAGTGGGCAGCGGGTGTCTCTGTTATCGCCCCACCCCACCCCGGGCCCTGTCAGTATTGGTTTTTCCTTGAGCTCTCATTTGACGCACGTGTTTGCTGGGTTTGGGGTTGGCCCAGCCAGACTTGCGAACCCGGCTCCCCGTGCTGGGCCTCCGAGGGCTCCGGTTCCGGGCCAGTCCGGTCCTGCCTGCGGATTCCTCAGGGGGGAAACACCGTCCCGGCGCCAGCACCCCCGGGGTGCCCCCAGGAACTTCTTTGGACCTCGTACGCCACCATGTGGACACTCTGGGGATCGGGAGCCCTCTGCGGCTTCGAGGGGGCACCCTGCGGCCGTGCCCACCGCCACCCAACCAGACACTGAAAAAGCATCCTTAGCTAGAAAATAGCCCCGAATTAGCACAAGTCAAAATAAGAGCAGGCCCTAGGTTAGAGAGGAAAAGATAGGCCTGTACCCTCTTCTGCTCACTTTGATTCATACATCCTCTATGAAACAAGGGCTTTCTTAGAGCCGTTTAACAACAGAAGCCTAGCAGCTCTGTTAAAACTTAGAGCAGAATTTTTTGTTAAAGCTTGGGAAGATCTTTGTGTCCCCAAGTAAACCACCCCCTCTATCCCCCAGCCCCTCACACACTTTTTGGGCAATGCTCAGAACACAACACTAGAGCTTTGGGTTTCAGGTTTGGTCCACTGTTCATAGGCAGATTTTAAAAGAAGGGGTCTCCTTTGATGCTTACGCAGTAATTTCAAAGTTTCTCAGATCTTGAACTGAGAGCCGGCTTTGGAGGGAGCAGAAAGTGCAAAGCCTCTAGCTACCAGGCATAGTGGGGGGTGGGAAAGGGGGAGGAGGAGTGGGTATGGCCTACGGGAAAATCCATGGGCTGGGAAGCCTGCTCACAGTTGTTCCCCACTCAGAAGCACTTTGAACTGTGATGAGGCCTGGGGGCTGCTCCACAGACTCTGTCACTTAATAAGTGTCCTTTGTACCCAGGACAAACCTGTACCAAATGGGCTAGAACCACAGGCTGTAGCTTTGAGGTCTTTGTGAGGTACTGGCCTTCGCATCCCTGGCCCTAACCAACCAGGCCAGCGGGCTCCAGATAAACCCAGCATCCAGAAGGAGCTTCCAGAACCCTCTGGGACCTGCCCCATCCACCCAACCATCCATCCACCCCCCCACTCAATAGATAACTTCTGTGGTCATCTGTGGGGTCAGTTTCCCTACCTCCAGGCTGTGACATCTTTCAAAACTCCCCCTTCCTCTCCTTTCTCACTTGTCCCTTGCCATCCCGACCCCAAATCAGATCGTAATCTTTCAATGGGTCTCCCTGCTTCTGGGCCCTCCTGGGCCAATCCATCCTGAGTACCACTCCTAAATTAATCTCCCTACAACATACCCAAGTTCTCTTGAGTGACTGCAGATTGCCTGCAGCATCTGGTCTGAATTTCTGCGCCCAACCCAGAGGCCCACTCCTTATGTTCTGTATCGTCACTCCGTCTTTCAGAGTTGGTGACTTCTTGAGAATACAAGCTATGTTTTATTTTTCAAAATCAAATCAAATGTAAATTACATGTCAATAAATCCTAGCCAAATAATAATTTAAAAAAAAAACCAAATTAAATGAGGTGCTTTTTACTAGTACGCATTGCCGTATGCATCCATACACGCATCCAGACATGCATTGTGATGAGCAGGCTGTGGTCTCGGTGCCCTTGGCCACGGGGCTGAGTGGGATCCAAACACAGCTCCTGACCCATTTGCTAAGCTGTGCACCCCGCCTTGGGGCCACATCATTTTGGGAGAAGAGATGCCTTTCCCATTCCACCCAAGCCTAGAAGCTCCTCCTATTGTCTTTGAGATACCTTCCTCACAGAGGAAAATCGACAGGCCTGAGGCCAGGCCTGGCTCAGGCAAAATGGAGAATGAAATGAGGGTGGTACCTCTTACAAGCAGCTGAGAACTCCTCCCCACCGCCCCCTCCCCTTCTTCAGATAGATGTGGGAGACCCTAGGGAAACATAAAAGACAACATACCATCATTTCAAAGTTCAAAGGTCCGTAAGGGCTTTCTAGTCCAACTCTTTATTCTTTCAGGCCATAAAACTGAGCAGGGTGTTACTTGTCCTCAGCTCGAAAGCTCTCTCCTCTCTCTAGTCTCGACTGCTTCCCTTCGGGAGCCTCCTAGGTCAGCCTGCGCTTTCTCTATTACAGCCTGGGAACCCCAACCCCGGGAGGAGCCAGCCCATCAACCTGAACCACTATGCCACTAAGAAGAGCGTGGCAGAGAGCATGCTGGACGTGGCCCTCTTCATGTCCAACGCCACGCGGCTGAAAGCAGTGCTGGAGCAGGGACCATCCTCCCATTACTACACCACCCTCGTCACCCTCATCAGCATCTCTCTGCTCCTGCAGGTGGTCATTGGAATCCTCCTTGTGGTCATCGGTGAGGACCCTAGGCCTGGAGTGGGCCTCAGTGGCCCCTGGTGGGAAGAAAAGCCCCGACTGCTTCTCTGTGCTCCCTCTGCTTTTGCCCACGCCAACGTCTCAACCGTCTGCTAACCTAGTGGTAGCCCTCCGCACCTACAAACGCCCAGCTAACAACTACACAGTGAGAGCAGGCTCCCTGTCCTACCTCCTGGTCTCCCACATAGTGGTCCCTCCACAATACCTGCTGAATGACTCTCTTCACTTACTTGTAGCAGAGGTCCTTATGGCCTTTTGTGTGAGCATGTATCCCCACTCTTAAGACCCGGTATAAGTGCCCAAATCCCGATTTCTTGAGGTACAGTGTGGATGCTGGCGCACTGGTCAGTGAGGGAGAATATCCCTCAGCCCAATGCCTACCACCTCGCTTGCCTTCTGCCACACGGGTCGGGTCTCCGAGGTGCGCGAGGGAGGTTTCGGGCTGTGGCCCCACGCTGAGACTTTGCCCCCCACCCCCCACTGGTCCGCAGCGCGCCTGAACCTCAATGAGGTGGGCAAGCAGTGGCAGCTGAACCAGCTCAACAATGCTGCCACCACCCTGGTCTTCATCACGGTCGTCATCAACGTCTTCATTACGGCCTTCGGGGCACACAAGACGGGCTTCCTGGCTGCCAGGACCTCAAGGAATCCTCTCTGAACACAGCCTGGGATCCAGGTGAGGGAGGAGGGGAGGGCCCTGGGGCCGAGGGCCCCAAGTGACCCTTCTCCCAACTCTGGGGGTTTGGGGTAGGAGCAAGATCTTTGCAAGGAACAGGGACAAGATAGATCTGAGGCAAGGAGGGGGTCTGAGAGAAGAGCTTGGATCCGGGCCCAGAAAGGCCCCTCCTGCTGCTAACGGGGGACTTTTCCTCAGCAGTCAGGCTGGGGTTCTATAGCCTGGGATGGGTGGGAGGCAGTGTGGTTAGTGCTTGGCTCTGCTCCTCTGGCAAGAGGAAAGATGCAGTCTGGGATGTCTCCCTGGCACTGCCCAGCAGCCCTTGCTACTCGAACTGCAGTCCGTGGACCAGCAGCAACACCAGCTGGAACGTTGCAGGCAACGTGGCATCTCCAGCCCCACTTCAGATCTCCTGAATGGGCACCTGCATTTGAAAAAGGTTGCTAGGGGAATTGTGTGCACAGTGAAGTCTGAGGACCGCTGGTCTGGCCTGCCCACCTCACCGTCTCTTCTCTGCTTCCTCTACAGGTCGCAGGTCTGGAACAGCTTCCGCCTCTTTCCTCTCCGCTCTGCTAGGCTGATGGGCACTTTCCACAGCCCCTGGGAGAGCTCCGAGAAGGGCAGTGGAGATGCCCTTGCTCCCTACCCAGAGCATCTTAATGAAGACGTGCTATTTTACTGGTCTAAGTGAATCCCATCTTGGTCTGAGTCCTGAGCTCAGACTGGGGTACTGCCGACCTTGCTTTCTGGTAGCATCTCCCGCACCTAAGGCGTGTCTACCTAAAGCCAAGCCTGCCCAGCTTGAGGACTTCTTAGTCCACCTCATTCCTTCTCTCTGACCTATCCATTCCCTCGGCTCCAGTCCTCAGTTTTCCCTTTTTGTAAAATGGAATGATCTCTATCTATAAAGTTTTCTGCCAATCCACTATGAGTCAATCTTTATGCATCCGGGCTACACTCTGGATGCCCTCTCCAGCTGTGTTCTGGAAAGGGCTTGACTCCCTCTTCTCTAGATCCTGCTCTGAGTCAACTTTCCTGGCTCCATATGCCTTGAGCTAGTTACCATCTGCTACATAAATGGCAGATTAGTTAATTCTGGATTGATCCATGTATATGCACAATCCTTTTTGAGAACCTGTCATAAACCTATCCTAGCTTTCAAATTAGCACCTTCCCTTGGCGTGTGCTTAAGGCATACAAACTCATTTTGATCTTTGCCTTGGCCAAATAGAATGAGCAAGATAAATTTGTACCTGTAAAGCATCAACCGGGCATCCCTAGCTCAAACAGAAATGATTTTTAGATTGTCTGCTACTTTACCACTGCTCCCCAAACCATCCTAGCCGTGTCTAGCTTTCTTCCCCCAGGGCTTCCATCAACCCTTCTCTACTGGAACCACCAATCTGCACTAACCTGCTGAGCAGAAAATGCCCAGTCTGCTCTCAGACGGTGAACTCCTCAGGCAGCTCCCTACAGGGCAGGCACCAAACGAATGGTAAATGGTGGAGGGTGGTGTGGGAGGGTCCTTGGCACATCCATCAGAGGCCTGACAACTGAGGGACAGAGATGCAAACCCTAGGCCCTCAGCCCACCCCTCTCCCATCTTTATGGGAGATGAGGAAAACACATGAGCCACTTTGTTTTCTAAGAAGATGCTGTATTTAATGATTTCCCTCCCCCGCCCCCCGACACATTTCCCTACAGAGTAGGGGCCGTACCAGGGCCTCCCCCTTTAAGGCAGATGGTGTGGAGGTAACAAACGAAGGAAAGGCACTGGCCAGGGTCAGAGGGGACCTTGAGCAGGGCAGGGTAGGCTGGGCTGGCTCCTGTCATTAAGAGGATAGAGGCGGCAGAGCTGTTTGGATTGGCTCAGGCCTACCAGTGCCACGGCCAAGGGGGACAGTGGCCCCAGAAAGCAAGCCGGCACCCTAGCCAGCCAACTGTAGCTCTCACCTATTCCCTACAGCTCTTTCCCAAAGGTGGTAGGCCTGAGCAAGGGCTGCAGGAAAAGTCAGGGCCCAAGGGGCAGATATGGAATCCAGAAGCCACAGCCCATTAACTGGAAAGTCTCTGTCCTTCCTGATTTCTTAGAGGGGGGCAAGGATTCTCCAGAAGGTTCTCAATGGGCTCCATTCTCCTAAATGCCAAGTGTGTGCTCTTGGTGAATGCAGGGCCTACTGGGTAGATGTTGGAGCTCCAAATGCTGTGACTTGGACTCTACCACAGCAGGGAACCTGGGCTCGGGGGACTGGCCTCCTGGGCCCTGCCACACCCCTGTGAGCGCTTCCTCACAGCAGGAAGCCCCGTGCTCCCCTCCTTCGCTGGATGCTCGAGTGCCACAGCCAGCGTCCAATGCACCATTGGTCAATTCAGCAGTGGCGGAAGAAAGATCCCCAGCCCCAAAGGCACCTGGGGATTTTTAGTGCAAGATTAAGTGAGTGATCGTCAGGTGTCAGGGCGGCCGGAGACTACAAAGGCCAAGGGCTATCTTCCCTGAAATGGCTCCACTTTCCAGTTCCTCCTGGCCCCACTCCCCTCCAATTGGGGAAGAGATCTCAGGGTGATGCCCTTACCTCTCCGAACCCATGGCCCTGCCCCTTCCCACCCTGTTCCCTATTCCTCCGTCTTGTCCACACCCCTTCCTCTTCTTCCGGGCAGGCTACGGCTGGGGATCTCCCTGCAGGAGGCCAAGTCTGTGGGAGAGCGGGGCTGTGGGGCCTCAAGTTTCCACTTCCCTTTCCTCCCTTCCTGCTGGATGGCCACCCCGTTCCCATCTAAGCCCAAGGCTTTCTTACATCTCCATCCTCTTTCCTCTCTGCTTCATGTTCTCCCCAAGGCTTCAGCCTACAAGTGGGCCAGGCCGGGGGCTTCTCCTCCCTCCTTCTCCACCGTGCCTGTCCTGCACCACCTCTACGCCAAACACTGGGGAATGACGAGCCCACTGCCTGCCAGCTGTCACCCAACCCCGCAGGGGCATCGTGAAGATGATGCCAGTCTGTGCTTCTGGTCAGGCTGGAGTTAGCACCGCTGGGAGGGGCAGGTTAATGCCCTCCTCGGTGGCCAGCTGTTCAGTGGCTCCCTGGGAGAGACACGCATGTCTCTGGAAGGCACGGGCTGGGGATAGAGCTGAGAACAGATCCACGCGGTGCCAGCTCCTCTGGTTATAAATGAGCTGCCAGGTCAAAGACCGAGGGACACGCTGCGCTACACAGGAGTGGGTCTGAGGTATGCAAGTGGGGACATGCCCTAAATGCATGACTCCATCCTCATCCTCATGACTCTCTCACAGTCAAGGCTGGGTCTGGATAGGTACAGTTTTGGTTTTCTGTTAGAAAAATAAAAACCCCAATAAAATATGTCCAAGAGAAGAGTTTCCAGGTTGTGGTCACTACTCCCCAGGAGGAGCCTGGAGGGGATGCTGAATGCACCTCACAGACAGGTCGGTAGCGTGCAAACAGGTCTTTCCTTCCTTGACTGAAGTGTGCCACCTTTGCCAGGAGCCGGTCCATCTCTGCCAACTGAGTGAACGGCCCCTCCTGGTCCCTCTCCCAAGGTCCTCCCTTCAGTGGCCCCCAGAGTAGAGAGAGGGGCCTTGGCAGCTGTCTGCGTGAGGCGACAGCTCTGGGTGGAGTGATGCTGTTCGCTCTGAGGCCTCTCGGGGCCCAGCCATGGCTTCTCCCCCACCACCCGCCCCCTCCTCCTCAGCAGCGAGTGGGGGCACTGGGAAGCCAGTGCAAGTCAAGGAGCGGGAAGCAGTCAGTCCAGCGGGCCGCCCCTCAGGATCACCGCATCTTCATCTGACGGCGGTTCCACATGCCTCGCTTGGAATGGAAGTGATGGAAGAAATTCCTGAGGGCGAGCCGTTCCACTTCCAGGCCCGCTTGGAGGATCCTGCATGGGGGAGGGGCAGGGTGAGTAACAGAAGCACAAGAGGCAACTGGGGACTCCACCTCCCACGTCTACGTCACCCCCCCGTCTTCCTCTGTTTACCCCCACGGAGCAAGAGAGGAGGCCACGGTGCACAGAAGGTGGGCTTCGGAGCCAGCCAGCCTGGGTTTGAATCCCAGCCCCATACCGTGTAACGCATGTCACCTTTCAGAGCCTCAGTCTGCCAGTCTTTAGAGAGAGGAGAATGATATGCAGTCGACCCTGGTCTTTTCTTCCTTTGATGTCTCTCTCCCTTTCTCTCCTCTGCCCCCTCCCCTTCAACCCAAATCTCAAGTTACTGTCCTCTTTCCCTCCCCTTTTCTTGGCAACAAATTTCTTTCTTCTGTAACTTTTATTAAAAAAGCTCTACCCCCAATGTGGGGCTCGAACTCACGACCCCGAGATCAAGAGCTGCATGCTCTCTCAACTGAGCCAGCCAGGCGCCCCTCGTGGCAGCAAATTTTTTTAAAAAAAGCAAATTTCTTGAAAGAGGAATCTCGTACTAACAGCTCTGGCTCCCTCACCACCCTGCCGCGGGGTCCCGGCCTGCCCGCTCCTGCCTCAACACCCTCGTCTGCCGCTTGCCAAGTCTGTAGCCTGTCCTGGGTTCTCCTCTCTCCTTCCCAGAGACTATTTCCTGCTCCCTGAAACTCCCTTCTCCCGGGCTTCTAGGGCCCCAGGACCTCCTGGATATCTTACTGCTCTTTTTTTTTTTTTTTTAAAGATTTTATTTATTTGACAGAGAGAGAAAGAGAGAGAGAGCACAAGCAGGGGAATGGCAGGCAGAGGCAGAGGGAGAAGCAGGCTCCCAGCAGAGCAGGGGGAGCCTGATGTGGGACTCGATCCCAGGACCCTGGGATCATGACCTGAGCTGAAGGCAATCGCTTAACCAACTGAGCCACCCAGGCGCCCCTTACTGCTCTTTAATGACCCACACACTGTCTCTTTTGCTGGCCCCCAAGTCTTTCCTGACCCTTCATCTGTCTCTCTTGTCCATGCCCAAGCCTCAGCTTCCCCACCAGGCAGCGGTGCGGGGGAGGAAGGCTCTGATCCGGGAGAACGCAGCCGTATATCGTATTCTCCATGGTGCTGGGCTTGCGCTGAGAGCATCAGCATTTACACGCGTACAGCTCACCGGCTTTTGCTTTACCCTGACAGCCCACCATGCACTCTGCTCTTCAGGCCAACCCTGAGACATAGGCGGAGGCAGGATCATCCCCCTTCTAATAGACACACAAACTGCGTTTCGGCCAGGCGAGTAATATGACCCCCTGTGAGTGGCAGGGCTTCCTCTGAGTCCAGTGGTCAGGAATCTGCTGCCCTGCGGGCCCGGCCTTGGCTGGTCTAGCCCTGCTCTCTCCCCGTAGCCCCTCTCAGACGCCCTCCTCCCCGAGTCACCTGTCCAGCAGCTCCCAGTCTTCCCCGCCCCAGCGGTCTCGGAACTCCTTGGTGTTCATGCCGCCGATTCTGTCCAGGTCCGACTTGTAGATGCCGAGCAGTCCAAACCCATTCACCTCCCAGTAGCCTGTGGCCAGACAAGAAGCCCCCATGAGATGAGCCAGGAGCCAGGAGGAAGCAATGAAGGCTGCTGGGCTGCATTCCCAGAGCCTTCTCTGAAAGACAGGGGACAGGGTGCCTAACGCTGAAAACTGTCTCATGTGAACAAGTCCCTGCCTGTTCTGGGTGGAAGCCCCCCAGCACTCAGGTCAGGGTCCAATGGAAGCTGCAGTCCTACCAGGAGGGGGCTACCGGCCCTACAACAGGATCTCACAACGGCAGCCACTGGGGACACAGCTGAGCATGCTTTCCGTGTCTGCTTCCCTCTCCAGAGGCAGAGGGCCTGTCTTGCCATTTTTCTATCTGCACAGGGCACAGAATCTGGCACACAGGAAATATCTGATGACTGCATGAAGGGAAGGTGGGGAGGAAATGTTCACCGGTGCCGCTGCCGTGGCTGTGAGCACAGCCCTCAGGCACCTCTCTGGTGGGCTGTCCGGTGGGGGGCAGAAGGAGTAGGAGGAAGAGGGAGGCTGCCATGGTAGACACGGCTGCTTCCAGCTCTGGGGTGAGGAACCAAGGCCAGACAGGGCTTTCCTACCCGCCCTAGCCCAAGGCAGGGCTCACCCTCAGGCCACTGGGGGGTGGCCCCGCAATGCAGCCTCATCACCATGGGGGCAAAGGCCATCTTGCCCTCCACACAGTGCTTCCGGATGGTATCGATGACTCCAGCTGGGAAGTGGATGTGGAGGTCACAGAGGAAGATGATGCTGTGCGGGTCCTGAGGACACATCAAGGAGGGTCAGCAGACCCCACAGACCAGGGCTCGCGGGTCAGGCCACTCCCAAGGACAATCCTCAGGCTCCTTCCCACTCATATGATGGACAAACTTCCACAGAACAAACTGTTGGGCAGATTTCCACAGTACTGGGCACCAGAGCGCAGTAGTCAGAGTCAGAGAATGAATTCTGACACCTCTCATTCACCCTTTATGGGTGGCAAGGCCTCTGGACAAATGCTCCACAGTCATTTGCTCAGCCCCACCCTGGCACCCGCCCTGCAGCAGAGGGGACCTCCGTGTCCTCATTCCTTCTTCCCTGAGGAGCTGGCCACCTCACACATCCCAGATGTCTCCACCTCTTAACCAGTCTGTAACCGTGTCTCCCAAGCCTCTCCCAGGCTATTACCTTCACCAGGTCTATGCCAGCCTGAAGCCCAGCCGAGCGCTCGAAGTTTCCACTCAGTTTCACATACTGGTAGCTGCAGGGAGAGGAGAGGAGAGAGGGGCAGAGTATGAGGGCTCGGCGGCAGTGGTCCCTGGAGGATACCAGCGGACCCGGAGGAAGATGATGTGTGCTCCTAGGATGTGTGCAGGTGAGTCGTCTGGAGAAAGCCAGACAGTGGGACGCAGGAAAGCCAGCTGGGACTTCGAGCTCTGCCCAGCACCCAGCAGTCCCAGGACTCTAGAAAGCGGGTGGCTCCGGCCGGACTCCGGCTGGGGAGCCTCCTCACCTCCGCAGCTTGGACCTCTTTAGGGCCATCTCGATGTCCATGTCCTCACTGCTGTAGTCAGTGATGATGATATTGAAGTGTGGGTCGCCGGTGGCCTGGAATAGCTTTTCCATGTCCCCGATGAACTGCTGCACCCAGCGCGCCTGGTTCTTTACTACCGCAGTGGGCAACGGGAAGAAAGAAGTGGTAACACCGAAAAAGGCAGCCCCGCTACCAGCTCCCGCACGAGTCAGGGCCCCAGCAGACCTCTGCCACTGTGGACCCACCAGCAATGCAGCGGGAGAGGGACAGCTGACCCATGAAAGGGGCCTCTGCACCCTGGCGCCCACAGAGCCTCCGGGCAGCGCCTCATGGGAAGGCCTGGGACCGGGGCTCGTCCTCAGTTCTCTCGTAGTAACCCGACCGTGCTCTCACACTCAAACCCCGTTATCTGCCCATCCTACTAGCACTCTTGCTCTCCTGTCCCAGCCCACGGTTACACACATCTGCTCCATGCTCCTCTTTTCCACTAAAGAAACCAGCTAAGCCACTCTATGTCTTGTTCCCCAGAGCAGCTGCAAACCCCGGTACGACAACACGGCCACGATCGCCCCCCGCTCCGAAACCTGGCGCAACAGGGAGCACCTGGCCTACGAGTTGGCATCTTTGCCAACCGCAACACTCGGCCATGTGACCTCAGGTCCTTGCCTGTCGAGTGGCCTCTCCCACAGGTTCTCGTGAGATCACATCAGTGAGCAGAGACCTGGGTGCTCATGGTGACTTTTAGGATCCCCACTCTGCTGATAATGGCCGGGATCAGCTTGAGGCTCACCAGGCACAACGAAGTGGACCACGGCTCGGTGATTCCAGGAGAAGCCCTGGGGCCAACACAGTTTGGGCTCTGGGGCCCGGACATTCAAGACATGTCTCCGGCGGTTGTGTGAGCCCCAAACCAGGCCCTGCAGGTTCCGGGCCTCGACCTCTTCCCCACCAGCTGGATCGATGCCCTGCCAGCCTCGTGTAGACACATACTCGGAGAGCCACACTGGGCGCTGGCCTTGTTCCAGCAGCTCAAGCTCCAGGAGGTAGCGACCTCCACGTAGCTGGTCCTGGCGCTTCTCCACATTCACGATGCGCTGTAGCTGGTACTTCCTGTGGCAGAAAGGGTGGGCAGCTTGAGTAACTCCTTCCCCCACTGTGGGGGGTAACATGGTACATAGAAGCCTGTGAGGCCAGAGGTCAGGAGACCCTGAGTTTTGTCCTAGTGTTGCCATTGGCTAAGATGCTGACACAAGGGGCACCTGGCTGGCTCAGTCAGTAGAGCATGTGACTCCTGATCTCAGGGTTGTGAGTTCAAGCCCCACGTTGGGTGCAGAGCTTACTTAAAAAAAAAAAAAAAAATGGAAGGAAGGAAGGAAGGAAGGAAGGAAGGAAGGAAAGGAAGGAAAGGAAGGAAGGAAGATGCTTCCGCCAGATGTTTAATCTCTAGTGTTCACTGCCTCCATCTTTAAAAATGCACCTACTGACCTGCTCTAAGTCTGTTATAGCTCTAAGATCCTAAGTATATAAGGTGAATATGTTTCCTTCAGAAACTGACCCTCATTAATAAAATATTCTACTCACTCACAATCCATAACACACGATGGGTTATTAGAGAAATGTTGATTGGTTAGAACTCAGTATCATTAATCACTAGGGAAATGCAAATCAAAACCGCCATGTGATACCATTTTGCACCCATTAGGATGGCTATTTTCAAGAAAGGAAAATAACATGCGTTGACAGAGATGTCGAGAAATTGACACCACTGATGGGAATGTAGAATGATGCAGCTGATTTGGAAAAGAGATTGGCAGTTTCTCAATATGTTAAACACAGAGTTACCATATGACTCAGCAATTCTACTAGGTATATCCCCAAGAGACCTGAAAACATGTTCATGCAAAAAAATTATGCACAACTGTTCATAGCAGTATTGTATTCATAATAGCCCCAAAGTGGAAGCAACCCAAATATCAATCAACAATATGCAGAATATTCACACAATGGAATATTATGCAGCAGTACAAAGGAATGAAGCACTCAATACATTCTACAACATGGAGAAGCCTTGAAAATGTTTTGCTAAGTGAAAGAAGCCAGAGACAAAAGGCCACATATTACATTTACACGAAATATAACTCCATTTGCATGAAATGATTATTATAGGTCAATCTATAGTGGGAGAAAGTCAAATAGTGGTTGCTAGGGACTGAGAGAAGGAAGAAATGGAAGTAATACTAACAGGTACGGGGGTCCTTTTAAAAGTGATGAAAATGTTCTGGAATCAGATGATGGTTGCACAACATTATGAGTATGCCTAAAACCACCAAATTGTACACTCTAAAACCGTACACTCTAAAATGGTACATTGAATGTTACGTGAATTGTATCTCAATTATAAGAATGTTGATTGGTGGGGCGCCTGGGTGGCTCAGTCGTTAAGCGTCTGCCTTCAGCTCAGGTCGTGGTCCCAGGGTCCTGGGATCGAGCCCCGCATCGGGCTCCCTGCTCGGCGGGAAGCCTGCTTCTCCCTCTCCCACTCCC